TCAAATTTGAACCAATACAAATATTAACAAAGATTTAAACAAACAAAAAATACGGCCATCAAATTAAAAATATGAGATACGTTTTGTCCCAAGCGCTCGCATGTCTTTATTTGGTAAGACCACATGACATTTTTAAGTGTTTTATTTTCTGCCCTAACTGCAAAGAGCACAATCCCAATTGTTCACCCTTGCATGTTGGAGTTGTTGTTCATCCATGGCTAGGCACTGCTCATGGTACCATCTTTGGCATGTCTCACACTGTTTCTGTAAAATAAAATGTGCAAACCTTGTCAGGAATAGAGAATCTTGTGGAATAGAGAAACATTTCTATAGGCAGGGCAATCTATACACATAATCATCTTCTATTTAGGTTTGTATGTGGGAATTTGTGTCCACTACATTACTCTTTGCAAAAGTTTGCAGCATGTTTGCAATAAAATCCAACTCCTTATAATGTAATTGTATTATGTACTCAACAACTGAGCTCCGATCTCCCACGAGAAGACTTAAATCTAATATAATTATTGAGCATATGCATTTATTTTTTAATTTGTGGGGGGAATGATGAAGAAGAGGTTGGTTTTTGAAAGAGTACAATCTCTGGTAACACATGACAGCTTCTTTTTCTTGATTTTGTGAAAATCCTTGTAATTTCAAGCATTCCTTTTTTTTCCACATGTGCCATAAACTTGCTTACTTTCTATATCTTTGAATTATTTAAAAATATTTTGTTAAAGTATCAAGGGGTTGAGGCTGGACTGAATTTCATTGTGTAGTGATCTGCAATGACAATAAAGGATCCATCCATCTATAACTAACAAAGACCTTGGCCCTCCAAATCCTTCATAAATACTGAAGGAGAGGTCTCGTCCTTAACTATTTGAAAATGAATTATTTTAGAATAGCAGAATTTAATGTGTTTGACTCTTTTGAGTATGTGTATTCTAAAAGGTATGATTTTTTTTTTATGACATTGCTTATGTTTATGATACATTGAAGGAAGAATATGCAACTTTTTGATCCAGTAGATGTTGCCCTTGAGCACCAGCATGAAACCCAAACAACTCGAGCTGCATTGTTGTGTTAGTATGCTAATGGTAGTGCTCTTTTGTTTGCGTGTAGCTTCACATTGCATGTAAATTTACACAAAATGACCATGATCTAAAAACGCTTACATGACATTCAAATAAGCAGTGAGTACAGTAAGTTATTCTTCTTTTCTATAGTCCCTCACTTACAAACAACTTTTATAAGCAAGGGGATGAGCCGGCCGGCCGTCCCGTCCCGTCCATGTAAACACGGTGTAGATACAGCTCAGACAACATCACAGACAGGGAGACTTGGGTGTCACACTCATTGTAGACAGTCATGACTCACAGAGGATATACTGGATATCTGCTATATTTACAGTATGTGTAAAATCTCGCACATTCAGCCTTTGAGACCAAATTTTAATTTAGGAACATCTCTGTATAGAAGTGCTGCCGGTTTGTGCCAAAAGTACAGTTGCGCTCAATACATGACAGTAATGTGAAGGCTGAAACTGATTTGATGCGTTACATTAACGCTCACTGGACTATTTTCTGTTTACATTGCACTCTGTTTTAGACTGCAAATCATGCACATATCTGCACAACTACACAGCTCCTCAACATCAAAGTCAGAAAATAAGACTCATTATAGTGATTTATAAGGGACTTTGACAGTGGATTTCTCAAAAAGTTCACAGTAGAAGTACTTCACATTACTTGTGCATGTAGTCTAAGAAGTCCAACCATATCAGAATCATTGTCTACTTATGTAAGAAAATATATATAATTATTGTTTTCTCCAAGAAAACTGTTTTTTATTTTATTTTTGTATCGTGAACACCTTATTTTGAAAAACGGAAGTTACCGTAGACTCGCACAATTATTCTCACACTAACTTCCCCGACCTCCGAAGCTATTCTCTGTGCAGTATTCTGTTTACTCCAGTTTTATGGTAAGACCTAGGCATTTAGCACTTGACGTCATCGCTCTCTCTGTCTGTTACTCTTGCTCGCTCTGCAGTCCGAAGCATTTACCATAAAGATCATAATACGTGGGCACTTCAAATTTAGGGGCTGCTCACTTCACCATGTAAACTCGAGGAGCGGCTGGCTTGACCGCAGTGTGACTGTCTGTCTGTCAATCAACAATGTCCCGCCCCCTCTATGAATTAAACTCTTCTGCCAGTAAAACTTACTTTGATCTTGTGTCACAGAATGAACACATTCTGTATTATGTTTGATTATATATAAACTAAACTAAAGTTAGTCCAATGATCTCATAGAAAACCACGAAGGCTGCAGAGCCTGTATGAAACTACAGCTGTAGGAACTCTGCAGGGCTAAAATAGAACAGAAACACAAGAACTCAAAGTCTACATGTTTTTAAATGAATGCATCACTGCGTGAAAATGTTCCTGATAAACATAAAAAGAGGACACATAACTAACTCCTAATTTCAAAGTGGTGAGGAAAACCTTCAAATTGTGCATAAATATCAATCAAATCGATTTCTGTTGCTAAAGATGTTCTGGGTGGGAGACCTCCAGACCTCCTACAAAGATGTTTCTCAAATAGATTAAACTTGTCAGCGCAGTTTTTGTGCATTTAAAAACATTATAGAGGGAAATAAGTCTGGTTGAACTGGTCAGTAACTTACAGATTTGTCTAAAGAACAGTATGAAAAAAAACGTGATGGGATCGGGATTTTGCGAAAAAAAATATATGATATGGTATTTTCCCATATCGCCCACCTCTAACCGGATGTACATTTTAGACAAAATGTTTAGTGCAAATGATCCTGTATTGACTTAAAATATATCTTTTTCTTATAATCTGAATATTTTCTTAGCATTCTGTCAGCTATGGGGCTCCTTGGTGTTTTCGCGCCCAGGCTTACTTAGCCATTGTTGATGTTGACCTAAAAAACAGAACCTATAGGCATTTATATCAAGTATGATAGGCTATATTTAGAAATAGGCCTAAATTAAAAATGCAATGTAAAACTAAAGCATTTTGAGGCTTGTGCAGGTTTAGCAGGACTGCATTAAAAGACCAGACAGAAACACTGTTATAACAACATAAGTTATGGTTGATAGACACTGAATGGCTTCTTTAATAAATATGAGCAAAATTACAGTTTTGGATTGAGACAGTTGTTTTACATTCAGTTCTCAAATCTTCACTCTTCTTGTTTGTGTTACAGTTTTAAACTGTAAAGATAAACCTGTGTTCACTCCATCCCGGCTTGTCGTCAAGTATGGTGACCCAGCGTCTGTGATCTGCAATGCATGTCAGCAAGAATGCCTCAACGAATTATTTAACTTAGAGCATTCTATGGGAAAGTCAACAATAAACAGAACCACAATTTCCTGGAATATTGATAGCTTCACTGAATGGACAGCTAGTCTCCAGTGCTATTACAATAAGGCTGCTGAGAATGTTTCTGATCCTGATGTCCAGTGCTGTACCATCCTGCCCCTAACCGTATACAGTAAGTAAACCTGCTGATGAACTAAATGAACAGAATACTGTTGCTTGTGTGACAATTGTATCATTGAGAAACAAAATAATATGCCTATTAATGTATTCAACCCAAGCTCTCTTTGTGTTTGTCTCCACAGAGCCCCCAGATAAGGTGTCCATCAGCTTTGCTAACCACACCGGGCCATTGATAGAGGCTCATCCGTACACTCTGCAGTGTACAGTACATAATGTTGCTCCTGTTGAAAAAGTCAAGGCAATCTTCTACAGAGGACATTCAGTTGTTGGTCAAGTACAGGTTAACAACAGTTATGGGGGAAAACCAATGACTCATTCCTATACTTTGGACGTCATCCCCCATAAAGGTGAAGATGGTGCTGCGTATTGGTGTGCAGCAGAGCTTGTCCTGGGACCTGAAGGACCACAGCCCCCTCCAGTGGTGATATCTCAAAACATGACTACCACTGTATACTGTGAGTCTGATAACAAAAATCTTCTTCAGTTATGAAAAAAATAGATTTTCATCAATTTCTTGAATAATTATTGAGGCAATGGGTCACATGACTACTTGGTATGCAAAACCAGTTGTTTGTAATCATGACCCAGCATATTTGAATTACCCAACTCTGCATTTACAAACTGTAGATTCTTGTCAAGTGTTGTCTAACTTTGATTTGTGGGCAACCATGTTGAATTCTCAAATTTGGCACTGTGGCTGTTGCCATCTTAGTTTTTAAGCAGGAAGTGACCATATTTGAACAAAGGGGTAAGATAGTCATTTCTACACTTGTGTTCTAGTTAAGAGGGGACATGGTAGCAAGTTCTCAATCACAAGCTAAACATGTTGTAGAGAATCATCAATTTTACTAACATTGAATCAGGAAATACCAAATGATCATCTCTCAGTGTTGAAGAAGACATGAAACGAGCAAATGAGACCATAGGTTTATTAAACCTAGTCAGAAGTAGTCTCATTTTTTCATAGAGTTACATTATACACTGACTTCTTTGGTCAATAAAAGAATGCAGATTTGAGGCACGTCCACATTGGCATTGTGTTTAAGACACTGAGGCTTCATCCTCTTCTTTTGTACAGTCAAATGTTTGTAATACAATATGATAACATATTTTGTATCGATTCGCAAAATAGCTATTAAATAGATCTGTGTCCGTCAATAAAGGTATTCAGTTAATTGTGAAAAAATATATCAAGCAAATGCCTGAGTAGTGAATAAATCAGGAGAAATAGGAGAAAATGTTGAGGTATCCTCCCACACTGCTCCTTTATAACGCATTGTATATGTGTTTAAATTAATATGTATACATTTTAAAATTGCTCCCATTTTAATCCTATGACGTGTTATGTTTCACCCACATTTTGTTAAAACACAGATGCGCCTAAGCTACAGGTGCCAAAACATCCAGGGTTGATCACCATCAATGAAGGAAACCAGCTAAAACTGGATTGCTCGTCTGATGGAAACCGAGTCCCTCATACAAGTGGACGCTTCCATCGGGTAGCCTTCACCGGAGCAGCATCCTCACTTTCGAATCTGCAGCTGCTGAACATGAGGGCAAGTACACCTGTACTGTCAGCAACGGCTATTGGAACTTCACTGAGGAGTTTCATGTGAAAGTCCATGGTGAGTTTTACATTTTTACATGTCCTCTCTTCAGTGATGTGGTTGTTAAATGAAATAAATCAGAATCAGAAATACTGAAAAGCCATGTTACTTTCAGGTGAGAACGTGACAGCAGAAGGGATCATTGCATAGATCACGTTCACACAGTAGCCATTTTCTTCTGACATCCTGCTCAGATTGGTTAATGCTGCATCATGGACGACTGGCATAAATGGTCTAGCAGGGCTAAACTCTAACATACAAATCAAGTCATATCTCTAAATGGGCTCATTGTGTTACAGTCCTTGCACTCTATTTTCTTCCTTAGTCTAAATGTGTGACAGGTGTCTTGGCATGCCCCTTTGATTTGCTGATCATTAATGACAAATTAATTCTGCCTACAAGCCATCGACTTCTGACCAATGTCACAACTGTAGTGTTAGACTGTAGAGATGATAAAAAAATCATTTATCTTCTCTTAACTTCACAATCTATTTTACTGAACACTGTGAAGTCTAATACATTCAATAGTTACAATTATCAAGATGCTAATTCTGTTAGCATGTTAATAACAATTTCCATTATGTTTAAGAATCAATCAAACAAACTAAGGTGTACATCCCTTTCCATCTGCCAGAAAGATCCACCACCCTGGGAAAAATGCACCAGCTGTCAGTAGTCGTTATATTGACTTATTGCTGGGTTCCAGGTTTCTGATTGAATAGATGTTAGAAATCTAAGAAAGCCTCATCATTTCCCTACTTCCAAACCAAAAACCTGTTTTTGTTGAATAATGTTTTATCCCCCCCCCCCCCTTTTTTTTTTTGTACTCATCTCTTCACAGCCAACAACATCGTATACATTATACTTGGTATACTATTTGCTGTTGTTCTGCTTGTCATCATTGGTGTTATCATATGGACCCGCGACTACAAAAACGAACGAACGGGACAATACGACTTTGCGCGTTAGCTGCTTTTGCTCACCACATTCCGCCGTGCCCACCGTAGAGTGAAGAGTTGTATGAATGAAAAGAAAATAACTTGCTCTATTCACACTGAAACTTAACTTTCGGTAAAGCTCAGTTGAAAACTGTGTTCACTGTTTAAGGAGGGATGTACATAGCTTGGAGTATTTTGTGAATTGGTGAGTGAGTGAACATTTCTCAGCTCATATCTTCTGATCCGGTTTATCAGATAACTTATCTGACACAGCAGGGTTATGCTGTCTTTTTATGTTCCAGTCCGACTGAATAATGACATCTCTCTTTTCGTGTCTGTAGTGGTCAGTTCATTTGTGTCTAATAAGGATAAGAGACAGGTCACATGATTTTTAACTGCTCTTTTCAGCAGGGCACTATGTTTTGTTATCAAACATTATTCTTATAGGATAAAAGGGCATTTGGTCAAAGACTATTTTCAGCTCCAGGGTAATATATATTTGATGTTATTACACAAGCTATGTCTACATTCTCTTAGTATTGGTGTAAACTTTACAGATTTGAGTTTAAGTAACTACTTGTTAGTTTGTTTGTTCATAGTTTGGTAAAATGGAAAGACGCTGTTTGAAGTTGAGATGTTCACTCTTATCACATTAAAACAGGTTTCTTATGTGAACTGATAGGAGGTAAACCTCAAGAGTGAAAATAGTCTATAAATACAGATGTTTAGATCCAAAAGAACTTGAGAAAATGTGTAATATTGTCATGTGCCAAATCTCAATCAATTTCAATATAAAGTGAAAGTGCTGTTATAGAGGACACATTATGCCCCTTTTGTACCTTTTCAAACAGTCCCCTGTGGTTTGATTGAAACATCTGTGCTGTGCTTTGGTCAAAATATAACATGAATCAAGCACCAGAGGAGGTTTGTGACCCTGTATGAACCAGCTCTCTCAGAGCACTCGGTTTTGGGGTGTATGTCTCTTTAAATGTAATGAACCCTCCCTGAGTTTTCCTAGTCTACCAAATGATGCGAATTATATATTATATTTGTTGTTGTGTTTTGTTGCTTAGCTAGTTAACTGTATTCTATGATTTTATTTTGAAAGCTCAGGCATTGGTGAAGTCTAAAAAGAAAAAGGGGTAAGACTAGTTTTTTTCACTTCATCCTTCACCATTTTCCAACATGGACTTAAAAATAATACACAACAAAAGGAAGTTCTCGTTGTTATTTTCTTTGTCTGTTTGTATATTTTCTTTGCTATTTTTAATATGTTTTTAAGAAATATAAAATGTGAAATGAAAGAAAAATGTGTAATGCTATAATTATCAACAACTGTTGTGCATATTGGCCAATATGAAAGTTCCCATAAACAAAGTGTAACTGTTTGTGATTCTTGCTGTTTAGTTTCATCACTCTGAAGGACTTTATTCCTAGAGGTGCAGGAAGTGTATTGTTATTATGTAAAATTATATAAGCTTGATTTTGTGTGTGTGTGTGTGTGTGTGTGTGTGTACTCGCTTGAATAAAATACTAAGCTCCAAAATGTATTGTTTATTTTATTAAGTGAATAAGTGAAAACCCTTTGTACAAACAATAGCCTATAGTCAGTGTCTTTAAGAGATATTTCATTGCAATTTCAAGTAACTACAATGGCATTGAACTAAAATGGAGCTCAGCGTAAGTTCAGACAGGAAGACTGCTTATATTCTTTCACAAATTCATTCATCCTTTCACTTCAACCTAAACTACTTCCTCTGTCTACCTGCTCTGGTGATCAGCTCATAATCAGCGTTTATTCTTCAAGTACGGTAATTAACCAACCAGATTCGGGCACAACCTCTCTCAGCCAATCATCCTGCTGCAGCAAAATGCTAAAACAGTTCTCTCTCTTCCACAGTCATTCTGTCATTTCAGGGCAACCGCTTCAAACCAAGGGGCAACCTCCGGTCTCGAAAAATGAAGCCTATGCGGAAGTACAAAAAACTGCAGTTCCTCGAGGTTCCGCTTGAGGCTGGCTGCAGAAGCGCCGGAAGTGCCATAAGCCCACAGCCAAAAAAGCCCGTTTTTACCACAGGAATCAACATGTTTACAGCCTGGTTCAAAAAACGAGATATATCTGAGAAGTTGACGGCCCCTTCTCCTCACACTGTGGGGGGGGTGAATTTTTTTATAACTCATCGGATTTTATTCTATTAAGGAAAACGACTATGCCCATATTTGGTTGTGTCAGATTTGATTGACAGCTCTGCGCGGTCAGCAGGTCAGGAGGCTAACAGCTTGATCCGTCTGATTTCTCCTCTTTTTTACTTCGTTTGGAGAGTTTGTTTAACACATATCTGACAACATACATGGCTTGCTGTGCGGTTAACAGACCATCCAAGAAGTTGATGCTTCAGTTTTCTTCGGTAAGTGATAAGTAGTGTTATATTTACTGCTTACTCGTGTTTATATTTACGGACCTAGCTTGTTTAGCGTTAGCTTGTAAACCAGTCGGCTAACTGTGTAGCTCATTATTTACATTATTTACATTATTTACGGTCAATGGTTTAGAAATGTTTGTTGTTAAGATGTTGTTGTTGAAAATAGTGAGTTTGTGTGATGTTAGAAGCTAAAGGTTCAGCTCGGTGGTTAACCACAGACTGTAAATATGGTTATCTGACGTTATGATGAATGTTATACTCCACGTAAATGTGGACATTAAAAAACAAACTTTGTGTAGTAATTATCCGTCAGTAACATAAACTGAACTGAACCTAATGTGCTGTGTAGGTTATAGAGGATGACATTAAAGTTACATGGTTGATGTAGTGTCTTAAGATTTGAGCAAACTGTTAACAAATAAAAAAAAACTTCACTTTGTAAGAGCATCTGTAACCATTAAGAACTATATTAATAACCATATTAATTTTCACTGAACTCATACACAGAATATAGCTGTAGAAATATAAAATATAAATAACATATGGAATGAAAATAAGATATAAAGCACATAGATATAAAGTATAAGAAATAGTTTGAAGAGTACAGCCATGTACTGAGCTCATGTTAATAATAAATGAGTTACTGTATGTTCTGTACTAAAGCACAGAGAGTTGGGACCTGTTAATGATTTAAATAATTCAGGTTATATTTGTTTCATGTTAAGATGAAGTACTATCCACAATAAACTGCTTAATTTTTCCTCACACAAAATCTGAGACAATTTAATGTGGAATATCATTGTGTGAGTGAGAGAGCTGAAAACAGCATGATTACAATAATGTTTATCTTCTTAACTTTGAATAGATGTTGATTACCTGAATACTGTACCTTTGTTGTCTGGGTAGTACACTGTTGAATTTATAAATGTGCTCTTACACACAGATGAATACAGAAAAATAGATGAGAACAAACAAAATGATTTAATGAATAACTGCTATTTTCTCTCTTTCTTTGCCATCCTGAAGACCCCTCACTAAAAGTCCATGTTCTCCTGGATCCATGTCACATGCTCAAGCTTCTTCTGAATGACTTTTCAACAGTCGAAGTTCTGGTGAGAGAAGATGGCCAGCAGATAAGACAGCAGTACATCAAGGAGCTCCACAAGCTTCAGGAGGAGGAGGAGGGTTTGCACCTTGGAAGACTGTATTCATGCTGTTCAAATAAAAATAGATCTCCTCCAAACAACTCGCAATCAAACTATTTTCTTCCCATTTTAAAACCCTTTGTCCAGTTTAGATGGGAGAAGTTGATATTATGTGATATTGATCAGGGAAGACTACATTTCTAAATCATTTTTAACTGTGTTTTTATTCACAAGTTATTGATCTTATTTACTCTCGGTGTATCTTGATTTAAGAATGGGGCTGTGTTTAAGGGCAAATTTTTGCAATGACTCTGTTCCATCCCACTTTCAGAAATAAACTACATTAGTATTTATCAAAAGAATAAGAAGTTGTGTAAAAGTAGACTTCCTTCCCTAAGCTATTGAGTTGAGCATTAATCTGAAATGTATACTCATAAGTAGACATAAAGGAGTGCATTTATATAGAAATATTTATTTAATCTGAAAAACAACATTAAAAAAGTCTGTTTGTACAGCAGAGATTAACATGTTTACAGCTTGGTACAAAACAAACAAATAGGTGTGATTAGCTCATGTCTCGATGGACACACACTGTACGGGGGGGGTGAATATTTTGATGAAGGATAAGAGTTATTCACAATAAGGCGTGTAGCTGACCAGCTTGACAGGTGGGCGCGGTGTAACGGTTTGTCAGGAGGTTTAAAACCCGCCTCAGCTCTCAGCCTGTGGGTGACATCACTCAGGCCATCCGGGGGAGACCTCCCTCACAGCAAGCTGTTGAAGAGAAGCAACTGAAGTCCACCCCAGAAGAACCAACAAATACAGATGTTGTTGAGGCTCAGGTTTCTTCCTCTGTCTCTGCAGCTCTCTGGGCACCAATAATCCACACTGTGTCTATAGGAGAAATACAAAGGTGTTCAATTAATGCCTCAGACAAGACAAAATGTACAGTTAACTACATGTGACATCTCAGGGTGTTTTTTTGTTATGAGCCACATCTGCAGGAATAATATTGAACAAGGTAGCTGCAACTCCTAATAATAGATGCCAGTATTAAACACTATTTTTTCTAATACTTAAAGTTTTTGGTGTGAAGCTGACACTGTCCACAGACTCCATGACTTCACGGGGTTCAACAGAAAACAAATATCTTATAATAAATACTAAATATTTATTTTTCAATTGTCATGTTCACCTCATCGCTGTTCGACATCAGTGATTATAAGACACAGACATTCCTCTTTTTGTCAGAACAGTAACATGAACTGTATGCTTTGTAATATTGATTTCTTCTGGATGTCTCATATTTATTTACAGTTTATGGATAAAACTTTGTTAATGTATTGCTCTGCTAACACTGACAAAGTCTAACTGCTCTGACAAATAACATATAAACATAATTGTATATTTAAAAAAGTGTAGTTTTAAGACTTTAATTAAATATTTGGGTTGAATATAATTAGTTTTAACTGTGTTGTAGAAAAGTTAAATGTTAACTTACTGTTTGTAGAGTTTTCTCAGGACGAGCAGGAATAGTTGATGATAGCAGCCTAGCTGTTAGCTATGCTGTGAAGTGGACTGCTAACGTCGAGCTGAATGGGCGGAGCTAAGTCCCGCCGGTCCCGCCTTACTACTGTTGCTAGGTTGATCCGAAGTTAGGTTGAGACTGCAAATCCAATATGGATGCGGCCGTCGATTGGACTCATTTTCTGCCTATGTAACAGACGGGTCAGGGTTCGTCCAGTAATATTTACAGTCTATGCTTCAAACACACACTTTACGTCAGCTCAAAAAGGAGAAAGTCATCTCCACTCGTTCACGTTGTCAGCCTCACGGGAATCAGCAGGTCACGCCGGTGCAGGAAGCAGCCTGATCATCTAGGCTATCTGCAGTCTCTGGTCATCTCCAAGCTGTCTGTCACAGTGTTAATATCCCCGTCTCATCATCAGCGTCCCTCACGATTGCAGACAGGTTGCAGTCTGCGTCAGGTTCAACTTACAGTGAAACCACACAGCTTCTGGTCTCCGCTGCTTGGCAGCACAGGTGAGCAAACATCATCGCTGTTACCTGCGGTCTCAGGTAAAAAAAAAAAAAATGGGGAAACTCCCCGATACCTTTACTTGTTACGATAGAAAGGCTATCACTATGTTTGGCACTGACTAAGTAGGCTATTATTTATATGAACTAGGGAAATTAGGATAATGAGGAAGGTTTTGAGTAATCCACATTTACTCGAGTACCAA